TGGGGCTTTTTGACCCACGAGCAGGTTGGCACAGGATGTATCACAGCTGGGAGTTTAAACTTCCCTCACCCTAAATACTTGGGTTGGTACGGCTTCCATGGTGTTATGGATGACTTTCGCATTTGGAGCGGAGTGTTGCTACAGGACGATGCGACTTTGCTGGCGTGTGGTGGGAAACTGCCAAACCAGAGGCTGCAAGCTTCAGTGAAAACAGAGACGGCTTTTGAAGACTTAGCACGTCCGTTATCGTGGGTCAATGTACAATTGAATATGTGCACTCGTCCAACTGAAGGGAGAAGCTTGCAGCTGGTACCTTTCCGCTCATCCGTACAACCGAGCTGCAGCATTTCATAAATGAGACCAGGGAAATTTTGAATGCGTTGGTGAACACATGCGATATGAAAGCTATTAGACATGCGTTGACGACCAAGCACTTTGGAGATGTAGACTGGTAAGCTCGTATTTCGTCCACACTTTTTCCCGCTTGGCAGCTCTCAGTTTTACTCGTTTCAAGCAGAGCAATCAACGAGCTCAAGCCAACATCACCAGGTGATCCACCTACCGTCAAAGATCCACCTCGGTTGATCGGATAAAGTATTTGAGTCGATGTGCACAGGGAACGAGTAAAACACTGTACCTAAGTTCATCTCCAGTCTTGCGTTATTTCCAGTTTTTGTGTACAGAAATGGTTTATGCATGGTCCTCGTACTAATAGATACACGCACACATAGAAAATATGTATTGGATTTCTGTCCAAACCTGACCAAAACCATGTACAAGTTATTAGCGGGATCCCACAAAAATTAGTTTTTCTCGTGCATGCGTTCGTCCACAACCCGAATGCCTAATAGGTTCCGCTAAACTTAACTCATGCTGAATAATTGGGCATCCTTCGTCACTTACTCCGACGACCAAGCACTTTGGAGATGTTGGCTCGACTGGCGTCGCATAAGCTCATACTGCTGTCGCTGTTGCTGCTTGACTTTGCGCTCCGTTTTGATGGCCTCCTTGGTTTTCTTTCGAGCAAAACAAATCGCAACACACGAAGCAATCCCAAGCACGAGAAACAGTGATCCAATGCATGCTGCCAATACGACAGGAGGACCAAAAGAGACCGCGCTTGACTTGGTAGG